CAGGGTGATTTTTCCACAAATTGACAGGTATTTTCCTTTCCATGGTAGTAAGATCTTATCTATTTTTGCTAACTTTCTATTAAAATGTATTGAAGTGAGATCATTTATTTCCTTTGGGATATGTATTCCGAGTATATCCACATCACCATCAGACCATTTTATTGGTAAACTACATGGTCATGTAAAAATTGTATTTTTTGGTGATCCAATTCATAATATAGTACATTTGTCATAATTTGGTTGTAATCCAGAGAGGTTAGAAAATGTATCTAGATCCTCTATGAGGCTGTGGAGGGATTCTAGTTGTGGATTTAAAAGAAAACATGAATCATCAGCGTACAATGACAGCTTTGTTTTTAAGACCTGGATTTCTAATCCTCTGATATTATTATTGGATCTGATTTTAATAGCTAACATCTCGATGGCCACAATAAATAGATATGCCGATAGTGGACAACCTTGTTTCACTCCTCTTGACAGTTTAAAACTTTCTGAGAAATAGCCATTATTTACTATTTTACACCTTGGGTTACTATACATGATTTTGACCCATTTTATAAGAGATTCTCCAAAATTGAAATGCTCCAGGCATTTATATATAAACCCCAGTCATACTTTATCAAATGCCTTTTCAAAGTCTGCTATGAATAGCAGGCCTGGTTTCCCATATTTTCCATAGTGTTCTATTGTTTCCAATACTTGCCTTATATTATCTCCAATGTATCTTCCATGTAAAAAACCTGTCTGATTAGCATTAATAATATCCGACAATACCTTTTTAATTCTATGCGCTATACATTTTGCTAGAATTTTTGCATCACAACACTGAAGTGTAAGGAGCCTCCAATTTTTTTAATGGACTGGATCTTTATTTTTTCCACTTGTATCCTGTTTCAGTAATAATGAGATCTTCTTCTTGAGTGTCAGATAATCTACCATTTACATAAGAGTGGTTAAAACATGCTAATAACGGTCCTCTTAGTATATCAAAAAAGGTTTGGTATACCTCGACTGGTATGCCATCCAACCCTGGAGTTTTCCCAGACTTAAAGTCTTTAATTGCATCCAGAAGTTCCTCCTCTGTAATTTCACCTTCACATGAGTTTTTCTGTATGGCTGTTAATTTGACATTATCAATAGAAAAAAAATCACTACAATTAGCTTCAGTTAGAGGAGATGGAGGCGACTGAAAAGAAAGCATATGCTTAAAGTACTTTGTTTCCTCCTTCAAAATATCATTTGGTGAATCATGGGTGACTCCGTCAATTGTAACCAGTTTCATTAAGTTATTTTTGGTAGCATTCCTATGTTGAAGATTAAAAAATAATTTTGTGCATTTTCCCCCATATTCCATCCAGTTTGCTTTATTTTTATAATATATTACACTTGATCTTTCTTGAATAAGTTTCTCCATTTCTTTTTGTTTTTCCTCTAATTTATTCTGTGCCTCTATGTTACAGTTTTTATTGCCATCTATCTGTTCTGTTAGACTTTCTATTTCCTTTGTTAGTATAAACTCTTTTGACCTAAATTGCTTTTGTTTTCGAGATGAGTACTGAATTGCATGGCCTCTAAAGGCACATTTAAAGGTGTCCCATACAATAAGGGGATTTGCTGTACCTATGTTATGTCGGAAAAAGTCAGTTATAAATTCCTTTGTTCTAATTATAAATAAATTATCATCCAATAGGCTTTGATTAAATTTCCAATATCCTCGCCCACGTGGAAATTCAGTAAGAGTAATGTATATGCCAATTATATGATGGTCCGACCGCATTCTGTCCCCTATCAACACTTTTTTTACTTTTGGTGCCAACGAGAATGAGATAAGAAAGAAGTCAAGACGACTAGCTTGATTGAGTCTCTGCCATGTATATCTCACTAGATCAGGATATTTAAGCCTCCATATATCTACTAGTTCTAATGTATCCATGACATTCACAATTTCCTTAAGAGCATGTGGGTGATTGTTTGTGGTGTGATTTCCTTTACGGTCCATTGAGCTATTTAAAACAGTATTATAATCCCCAACCATAATAATATTGTCTTGAATTGCTTGCAGGGTTGATAATTTATCATTTGCACACTCTTGGCATTCTCTCAACCAGCTTCATGAGGTAGTCACCTGGAATGCATTTCAATTAACAGTTGTGCCTTCTTAAAAATTAATTTGTGAAATTCCTTTCCTTCTTAATGCGTTTGAGCCAATCAGTTGTGTTGTGACAAGGTAGGGGTGGTATACAGAAGATAGCCCTATTTGGTAAAATACCAAGTCCATATTATGGCAAGAACAGCTCAAATAAGCAAAGAGAAACGACAGTCCATCAATCCTTAAAGACATGAAGGTCAGTCAATACAGAACATTTCAAGAACTTTGAAAGTTTCTTCAAGAGCAGTCGCAAAAACCATCAAGCGCTATGATGAAACTGGCTCTCATGAGGACCGCCACGGGAATGGAAGCACAAATAAAACATCCCAAATCACCCAGAAAAACAGTTACATTCCTCCACAAATAGTCCCCAATCGATACTTTAAAAGCTACATACCTGATAGGAACTTGTTGTGTAAGGACAAGGTAATCATTAACTGCTCTATGTGGCCTAACCCCAAACCACTGTAATGTAATCTCTCACCTCCAGCTGCTCTCTGTGTTGCAATGTCACGCTAAAAAAGGTCCTCTCAGGTATGTAGCTTTTGGTTTGCAGCGTGATATAATATAATAACATCATAACATCATAACTAGGGCTGTCAAATGATTAAAATTTTTAATCAAATTAATCAGAATTTTCAGTGGATTAATCATGATTAATCACTATTTGCAATTACACCTGAATCCTAACCATTTTTTTTCTGAAATGCATACCAAAAGATAAATAACAGGACACAGATACATAATTTTCATATTATGTCTGTTTATTAACACAGCCAAATAATGGTGTTTTAAATCAAGCTGAAACATACTACACACCATAATATTTGTCTTTGTAATGTTCCATCACTTCCTCTTTGGCATTCCTCTTAACCAGGATGTACAATTTACAGTATTCAATTGAACAGAAAGCAATAAATGTAGTCAAATCATAACAGTGACCTACCACATTTTTGCACAATTTGAGTCATCTGTGGAAAAAAACATTTTCAATAAAACTTTTAAATCAAACCAAAGAACAATCTTTTACCTTTTCCTCCATTCTTTAATCCAGTTGCTCAAAAATCCAGTTGCTAACTACTATAACATGTTGCACTGAAACTGGTCTTTTTGTTTGAACATCACCTTTCAAATCTACTGAGCTTCATCATCTTTCAGCCAGTTGCTGAGGCAAACTAACTTGTTCACATTTTCTGAAAGTAAAGCTGACCTTTTCTTGTTCACAATGTGACCTGCAACTGAGAAAAGTCATTCACAGGGAACAGTGGTTGCAGGAGTGGCTAGATATGTTTGTTACTCACTGATGTCCAATGGTCTCCTGTCAGGGCGATATGATTTACTTGAGCCAAGACCTCTTTCCTTTTTTCTTTTTCGTTTTCATAGAGCTCGTGGATTTTCTTCATAACTGTGGCTCTTGACGGTGGCTTATAGAATGAGTCTTGAGACGCCACTTGCAAAACATCAAGGAAACCTGAGTCTTCTACAATGCTAATGGGTCTACAATCCTTTGCAATCCATTTTGCTATTGTGTTGGTCAAATTATCTGAGGTTGATTTTGTTAATTGCCTGCAAACATTCAGCGTGGTCTGGCGCAAACCACTTGCTGAATCTGACGGCCCAGCAAACGCATGTTTGGCGTTGACATGGTACTTCAAGCTTGAACAGCTCCGGTGAAATTGAAACTCCTTCTTACAAATCTTGCAAATAACCTTGTACTTGTTAACTGTACCATCATCATTCTTTTTATATTTGAATCCGTCAATAGGCCCACTTTGCTCACCTTGCTCCATCTCGCCTCTAGCTCCAAACCACTTTCCTGACCTGAATAATTTGTCACACTGCGCATGCGTGAAATGCGTTAAAAAAATTGACGTAATTAACAGCAAACAACTAATTAACGTCGTTAACGCGCTATTTTTGACAGCCCTAAATATAACATAATAATATCATATAATAATATAATAATAATATCAGATAATAATATAATAATTATAATATATTAATATCATATAATAATAATATCATAATATCATAATAATATCATAATATTATATAATATAACAATAATATCATAATATAAAGCAGACTCTTTCAACTAAAGAGACTTGCAGTCATGCTTGCCGAAATTTTACGCATGAGTATTCCCGGGAATCAAACTCACTATCCCGGCGTTGCAGGCACCATGCTCTACCAACTGAGCTACAGAGAACCGCTAACCTTGCAAGTTTTTAGGGTTGCAAGGTCAATACCTGCCAGGGAGAAGTGCTGTGGTGTCAAAACTACAGATAAGTTGCTTACATCCAGCATGCTACTCTGTCAAACTATAGAACACATGACTAGCTAGATCTTCTAGACACCAACCGATAAGGGTGGAGTAGGCCTGTGTATTAACCAATAGTAATAGAGGAGATCTGTGTACTAACCAATAGGAAAAGAGGAGATCTGCATACTATCTAATAGGAATAGAGGAGATCTGTGTATTAACCAATATGAATTGAGGAGATGTGCGTACTAACCAATAGGAATAGAGGAGATCTGCATACTAACCAATAGGAATAGATGAATCTGTGTACTAACCAACAGGAATAGAGGAGATATGTGTACTAACCAATAGGAATAGAGGAGATCTGTGTACTAACCAATAAGGATGGAGGAGATATGTGTACTGACCAATAAGGATGGAGGAGATCTGTGTACTAACCAATAAGGAATAAGGAGATCTGTGTACTAACCAATAAGGATGGAGGAGATCTGTGTACTAACCAATAAGGAATAAGGAGATATGTGTACTAACCAATAGGGATGGAGGAGATCTGTGTACTAACCAATAAGGAATAAGGAGATCTGTGTACTAACCAATAGGGATGGAGGAGATCTGTGTGTAGACGTCCAGCATGCGGTTTCCGTCCACATCCACCAGGTAGTTTCCTCTGCTCTCCTCATAGTTACAGAAGAAATTGATTGCTCCCACGTTCTGGAGAGAGAGAGAGGGACAGAGGGAGAGAGAGAGAGAGAGAGAGAGAGAGAGATAAGGTAGTCATTACGTTAACTCAGCGATAAGGTAGTCATTATGTTAACGCAGAGATAAGGTAGTCATTATATTAACTCAGTCTAGACAGAGAGAGATAAGGTAGTCATTATGTTAACGCAGTCTAAACAGAGAGAGATAAGGTAGTCATTATGTTAACTCAGTATAGACAGAGAGAGATAAGGTAGTCATTATGTTAACGCAGAGATAAGGTAGTCATTATGTTAACTCAGTCTAGACAGAGAGAGATAAGGTAGTCATTATGTTAACGCAGAGATAAGGTAGTCATTATGTTAACTCAGTCTAGACAGAGAGAGATAAGGTAGTCATTATGTTAACGCAGAGATAAGGTAGTCATTATGTTAACTCAGTCTAGACAGAGAGAGATAAGGTAGTCATTATGTTAACGCAGAGATAAGGTAGTCATTATATTAACTCAGTCTAGACAGAGAGAGATAAGGTAGTCATCATGTTAACTCAGTCTAGACAGAGAGAGATAAGGTAGTCATCATGTTAACTCAGTCTATTTAATAATATACACTATTAAATACCCAATCAATATTAAACACCAAAACAGACTGTGTCTGCGTTGTGTGTGCACGCATGCAAGTGTGTCCCCGAAGAATGCATATTTTTAATTCCATCATGAAAACAGCCACACACACTCAACACTCACACACCCTCTCTTGCCGTACCTGCATCTCTCCCAACTGTTTGGTCAGCTCCTGGTGGGGGAGGAGAGAGATGTTATGTCAGGGTGGTTCCTCGACAGTCTGTAAATGTCTCCCAAACGGCACCCTATTCCCTCCATAGTGCACTGCCCTATGGGCCCTGGTCAAACGCAGTATACAGGGAACAGGGTTCCATTTGGGACAAAGCCTGTGTGTAACAGAGTGTTCAGTATGGGGTGTGTAAAGTCCACTGTGTTCCCATCGCAGGGTCACACAGAGGTCACCACGGAACAGGACAAACAGAACAAGCCTTTTAACAGATAACTCCTCTTCTTACTGGTTCATTCTGCTTTGACTGACACACATGGAATCAGGCCCAGCATTAGCCCACTGCGTGGTGGGGTACCTTGGAGCGTGGTCCGGGGACCTCTGTCTTCATGGAAGGCCCATCGTATTCAAACTCCATCTGGGTCTTAGCAGCTGCTTTACTCACATACCTGCAGCCTGTCGACACACACACACAAACGCACACACACACACACACACACACACACACACACACAGAGTTAAGGCAATGCCGTATTGCTGACTTGTCCTGCAGAAGGTCCTTCAACTTAACCTTAGACAAGGACAAACGCTCCATTCATTATATAATGCTGTGTTGGTCTTAGTTTCTGTCTGTCTGGCCACAGGGTATGTAGGGTTATATCATTAGGATGTCCTAATACACTACTGTTCCTACTACCACTATAACCTCTATAACCTCTATACTACTGTTCCTACTACCACTATAACCTCTATACTACTGTTCCTACTACCACTATAACCTCTATACTACTGTTCCTACTACCAACTATCAACCTCTCATACGACTGTTCCTACTACCAACGATAACCCTATACTATGTCCTACTACCTAACTACTGTTCCTACTACCACTATAACTACTGTTCCTACACCAGACACAAACCTATAACTACTGTTTCCTACTACCTAGCCACTATAACCTCTATACTACTGTTCCTACTACCCTCTATAAACCTCTAACTACTGTTCCTACTACACTGATAACCTATATAACCCTCTATACTAACTGTTCCTACTACCTCTAGAAACACCTCTATAAAACCTCTCATACTACTGTTTTTCCTACTACCACTATAACCTCTATACTACTGTTCCTACTACCACTATAACCTCTATAACCTCTATACTACTGTTCCTACTACCTCTATAACCTCTATACTACTGTTCCTACTACCTCTATAACCTCTATACTACTGTTCCTACTACCACTATAACCTCTATAACCTCTATACTACTGTTCCTACTACCTCTATAACCTCTATACTACTGTTCATACTACCACTATAACCTCTATACTACTGTTCCTACTACCACTATAACCTCTATACTACTGTTCCTACTACCTCTATAACCTCTATACTACTGTTCCTACTACCACTATAACCTCTATACTAACGTTCCTACACCTCATAACCTCGATACTACTGTTCTACGACCACTATTAACCCTCTAACTACTGTTCCTCCTACACATAACCTCTATAACCCTATACATAACTGTTCCCTACTACCACTATAACCTCTTAATACTACTGTCCTACTACCACTATAAACCTCTAAGAACCTCTATACTAGCCTGTTCCTACTACCTCTATAACCTCTATACCTCTATCTACTGTTCCTACTTACCGCTATAAACCATCTATAACCTCTATACTACTGTTCCTACTACCACTATAACCTCTATACTACTGTTCCTACTACCACGATAACCCTAGACTACACTGCTCCACTACCGTCTATAACCTCTATACTACTGCTCCTACTACCACTATAACCTTATAACCTCTATACTACTGTTCCTACTACCTCTATAACCTCTATACTACTGTTCCTACTACCACTATAACCTCTATACTACTGTTCCTACTACCACTATAACCACTATAACCTCTATACTACTGCTCCTACTACCTCTATAACCTCTATACTACTGTTCCTACTACCACTATAACCTCTATACAACCTCGATACTAACTGTTCCTACTACAACTATAACCACATCACCTCTATACTACTGACTGCTCACTACTACATCTAAACCGCTATAACTACTGTTTCCTACTACACATAAACCTCTATAACCTCTATACTACTGTTCCTACTCCTCTATACCTCTATTCTCATACTACGTTCTACTACCCTATAACCTCTTACCTCTATACTACTGTTCCTACTACCACTATAACCTCTATACTACTGTTCCTACTACCACTATAACCTCTATAACCTCTATACTACTGTTCCTACTACCACTATAACCTCTATACTACTGTTCCTACTACCACTATAACCTCATACCTCGATACTACTGCTCCTACTACCACTATAAAAGAGCACAGAAGAAAACCTCTATAACCTCTATACTACTGTTTCCACTACCACTAACACTAGATAACCTCTATACTACTCTCTACTACCTCTATAAACCTCTTATACTACTGTTCCACTACCACTCTAACCTCTATACTACGGTTCCTACTAACTACACTATAACCTCTATATACTACTGTTCCTACTCTCACTAATAACCTCTATCTATCTGTTCCTACTACCGTCTAATAACCTCTAAACCTCTATACTACTGTTCCTACTACCTTCTATAACCCTCTATACACTGTTCCATCCTACCACTATAACCCTCTATAATAACTCTATACACTGCTCCTACTACCTCTTAAACTCTATACTCTACTGTTTGTCCTAACTACCGACTATAAACCCTATAACCGCTATATAACTGTTCCTACTACCTCTATAACCTCTATACCTACTGTTCGCCTACCACTATAAACTCATACTACTGTTTCTACTTACCTCTTAACCTCTATACTACTGTTCCTACTACCACTATAACCTCTATACTACTGTTCCTACTACCTCTATAACCTCTAACTACTGACTGCTTCCTACTCACTATACCTCTATACTACTACTAACTTGGTCCTACTAACCACTATAACCTCTATCACCTCTCTACTACTGTTCCTACTACCACTATAACCTCTATACGACTGCTCCTACCTACCTCTTATAATACCTCATATACTACGGTTCTTTCCTACTACCACTCTAACCTCTATACGACGGTTCCTACTACCACTATAACCTCTTATCTACTGTTCCTCCTACCACTATAACCTCTCTAACCTCTATATACTGCCCTACTAACCATATAACCTCTCTCCTACTGTGCCCTACATACTCTACCTCTAGAACCTCTATAACCTCTATTACTGTTCCTACTACAACTCTACCCTCTAATAACTACGTTCCTCCTCCAACTATCCTCTATCTACTGTTCCTACTACCGACTATAACCGCATACTATACTGTTCTACTACCACTAAACTCTATACACTGTTCCTACTACTACCACTATAACCTCTATACTACTGTTCCTACTACCACGATAACCTCTATACTACTGTTCCTACTACCTCTATAACCTATATAACCTCTATACTACTGTTCCTACTACCTCTATAACCTCTTAACCTCGAGACACGGTTGCTACTACCACTATACCCTCTATAACTACTGTTTCCTACGAACCACTATACCTCTCTACTCTGTTCCTACTACCACCACTAAACCTCTATAACGACTGTTTCCTACTACCTCGATAACCCCTATACCTCTATACTCCTGTTCCTCCTAACCACTATAACCTCTATACACGTTTCCTACTAACACGATAAATAACCGCTGATAACGACTGTTCCTACGACCCTCTATAACCTCTAAAAACCGCTATCTCTACTTTCCTACTAACCTCTATAACCTCTATACTACTGTTCCTACTACCACTATAACCTCTATAACCTTCTATACTACTGTTCCTACTACCTCTATAACCTCTATACTACTGTTCCTACTACCACTATAACCTCTATAACCTCTATACTACTGTTCCTACTACCACTATAAGTAACCTTCTATAACCTCATACTCGTTCCTACACTACCTACTAACTATACAACTATAACCTCTATCACTCTATAACTACGGTTTCCCTACTACCATACATAAACCCTCTATACTACTGTTCCTACTAACCTCCTATAACCTCTATACTACTGTTTTCCTACTACCTCTATACCTCTATAACTCCTGTTCCCACTCCACTATCACCGTCTATACCTCTATACTACGTTTCCTACTATCCTACTAAACTCTCTACTACTGTTTCCTACTACCATCTATAACCTCTATACTACTGTTCCTACTACCACTATAACCTCTATACACTACTTCTACTTCCTCCTACTCCACTATAACCGCTAACCTCTATACCCTGTTCGCTACTACCACTATAACCTCTAGCTACTGTTCCTACTACCACTATACCTCTATCTACTGTTCCTACTACCCGCAGTCTATAACCTCTCTACACCTCTATACTACTGTTCCTTCCTACTCCACCACTATAAACCTCTATATACTACGTTCCTCCTACCACTATAACCTCTATACTACTGTTCCTACTACATCTATAACCAACCTCTAAACCTCTTACTACTGTTCCTCATCACCTCTATAACCTCATACTAAACTGCCGCCTACTACACTATAAACCTCTATAACCTCTATACTACTGTTCTACTACCTCTATCACCTCATACTACACTGTTTCTACTACACTATAACTCTCTACGCTCTCACTCACTGTTCCTACTACCACTATCACCCTTAACCTCTATACTACGTGTTCCTACTAATACCACTCTAAACTCTATAACCTCTATACTACTGTTTCCTACATCTAACCACTATAACCTCTAACTTAAATCTAACTCTGTTCCTACTACCTCTATAACCCTATCTGACTTTCCTACTACCTTATCCCCTCTATACTAACTGTGCCTAACTAACTAACCACTTAACCCTTAATACTACGTTCCTGGTTCCTACTACTCTAATACCTCTATAACCGTCATATACTAACTGTTCTACTACCACTATAACCTCTATACTACTGGTTCCCTACGACCTCTAATAACCCTCTATCTACTACCTGTTCCCACTACCTACTAATAACCTCTATACTACTGTTCCTACTACCACTCTAGACCTCGTATACACTCTGCTCCTAACTAACCACTATAACCTCTATACTACTGTTCCTACTACCACTATAACCTCTATACTACTGTTCCTACTACCTCTATAACCTCTATAACCTCTATACTACTGTTCCTACTACCACTATAACCTCTATACTACTGTTCCTACTACTCTATACTCATAACCTCTATACTACTGTTCCTACTACCTCTAATACCTCTATAACCTCTATACTACTGTTCCTACTACCTCTATAACCTCTATACTACTGTTCCTACTACCTCTATACCTCTATAACCCTATACTACGTTCTACTACCACTATAAACCTCTATAACCTCTCTACTACTG